CCAATGACCACTCCAAGTATGCTTTTATTGTTGGTTGCTTGAATTTGGCCCACTCATTTAAAATGACAAAAGCTTAGTTTTACTTTTTTATCTTACTAGATTTATAGGTTTTAACCTCTCACCTTATATTATGACATTTTTAACTAATTATTTATTAAAATTAAAAAAAATAATTCTCACTTATAACATTTTGTTAGTTCTGTTAGCTGACTGTCAGTTCTATTAGCTAACTATTAGTTGTTGTACCTATGATTTTGATGATTACAAAACACATTTGAGTGACTAATTGGTTTATTTAAGTGTGTAGTGTGTAGTTAAGTTGCTAAAAGATTGCAAGTAAACTTGTATGGCACTAAAAATAAACCAAAAGGATTCAATGTGCAAAGAGCCGGCTCTAGTGAAATGGAAGTGCAGAGAGCCGGCTCTAGAAGCTGCAGCCAGCTCTACAGGCAAAAATTGGAAGACCGTTGTTTGGCGTGCGTGGAGAAAAGACGCAAAGCCGGCTCTGGCTTTGAAGCCGGCTATGAGGGTGCATTTAATGCACAACGGTCGAGTCATTTGAAGATTATTTAATGTATTTAAAGTCGGAGTTACAAAGCCGGCTCAAAGTTTTGCAGTCGGCTCTTGAGAAAAACAGAATGTGCTACAAACCCGGATAGCCGGCTCTGAAAGTGTAAGTCGGCTCTACAGAGCCGGCTCTCTTGACAATTCTGTAGCTCGAGGTTTGCGTCTTGCAGAGCATTTAATGACCCCCAACGGCTAGTAACGGCTATTTTCGAGCAAGGGGCTATAAATATGATTGGTAACAGATGTGAAGAGTTTTAGAGAGTATTGTGTTGAATATCTTTACCTACCTACATGAGCTTTAACTTGAGTTTTTGATCTTTGAGAGATCTTTGTTTGTAATCCTCTTCTTGTGCTATTAGTGAGTGATCTTGGGGATGTGTTGATTCCTTCAAGAGTGATCTGAAGAGAGGATCTTTGGGGTTTAAGTGTAAAGGGGTGAGATTTGAGAAAAACCCTTCTTCTTGTAAAGGATTGAGTGGCTCCTTTAAGACACCATTATTTTTGCTAGTGGAGAGTGTGGAGGAAATCCTTGGTGAGTGAAGTCAAGGTAGAAGACTAGGCTCCAAGTGGTTGGACCGAACCTCTATAAAATCATTGTGCAAGCTCTTCTTCTCAACTCTCTCTTTAATTTTTGTTTGGTGGTTGCAAAGAGGTAAAAATTCTCCAATTCCAATTCACCCCCCCTCTTGGAGTGCATTGAGTCAACATTAGTTGACTGTTAATTAAAAAAAATATACTTTCAACTAATATAGTTAATAGTCAGTTAACATAACTATTTTGGTAGTTAACTGTTAACTTTATTAATTGACTATTAATTGACTGTTAATTAATAAAAATTTATTTTCAACTAATGAAATTAACAGTTGATTAACAGAACTAATAATCGATTAATAAAACTAACGAAATATTATAAAATGAGGGTTATTTTTTTTTTAATTTTAATAAATGATGGATTAAAAGTGTTATATTATAAAGTGATAAACTAAAACTTATAAATGTAATAAGGTAAAAAACTAAAAATAGATTTTTACCTTAAATTATGGTAACGAGAAAATGAATTAAGTAACAGACTTAAGGTAGGAGGTTTTCATTTCAAGGTACGTATAT